ACCGAGAATCGTGGCTCTGTGCCTCGTTGTTCCCGAGGGCCTCACCCCTCGCCATAGAGCCGCCACGACTGTGCTGAAATATACATAAGTCAGTGTCACAAACTTTATAATACTAAGGTTTTAGGGTAATATTGTTTATAAGTTGTACACATTACTAGTAGCTTAGAAACTACTAGTATCTTATAAGCTATAGAGATTACCTGTTACTTTAAACTATAATAATTAATAGTATATAACCTGAAGACTAATTACTAAGTTACCCACGAAGGAAACAATTTCTGAGATAATCTATATATACAAATCCCCTATTAGGTAAAAGCTAAATAAATGACCCATTTTCATATACATTCATTAACTAGAAATTCATTATATATACAAACTATTTTTTGAAGTCTTTTAAAGTTGACTTCTCAGCAATTGTTGGTCCCTGGTCTTGACAGGTACAGGTCCACCAACTCTGCTGGTCCCACCTCCACCTCAGGCCATCCTCGTCCGGTCAACTTTTGGATTAAAATATTTATATCGTGATTTGTATTAATTTATAAACCTGTTGAACTGATGAACATTAATTTATATTATTTGTATAAATTCTTGTGCACTGTCAAGTGAAGTACTATCCCAGTGGTACCAACAGTCTTACCAAGCACGACCACCACAGTCCTTTCCACCACCACCAGTCACTTCCACAGCGACCACCACAGTCACTTCCCAGCACCACCATCACTGTCACTTACCAAGCACGACCACCACAGTCACTTTCCAGCATCACCACAGTCACTTCCCCAGCGACCACCACAGTCACTTCTCAGCACCACCACCACAGTCACTTTCCCAGCACCAGGTCACTTCAGCGGCCACAGTCACTTTCCTACCACCACCACAGTCACTTCACCAGCATCACCACCACAGTCCTTCCCAGCACGACCACCAATCACTTTCCCAGCACCACCAGGTCACTTTCCCAACGGTCACTTTCCCAGCAGCACCACCACCAATCACCCCAGCACCACCACCAATCCCGCTTTTCCCAGCACCACCACCAATCACTTTCCCAGCACCACCACCAGTCACTTTCCCAGCACCACCACCAGTCACTTTCCCAGCACCACCACCAGTCACTTTCCAGCACCACCACCAGTCACTTTCCCAACAGCAGCACCACCAGTTGCTTCCCAGCACCACTACTGCAATCGCTTCCCAGCACCACCACCACAATCACTTTCCCAGCACCACCACCCAATCACTTTTCCCAGCACAACCACCACAATCACTTTCCCAGCACCACCAGTCACTTTCCCAACAGCATCACCACCAGTTGCTTCCCAGCACCACTACTACAATTACTTCCCAGCACCACCACCACAATCACTTAGAACCACCACCGATCACTTTCCCAGCACCACCACAGTCACTTTCCCAGCACCACCAATCACTTTCCCAGCACCACCACCAGTCACTTTCCCAGCACCACCACCAGTCACTTTCCCAGCACCACCACCACAGTCACTTTCCAGCACCACCACCAGTCACTTTCCCAGAACCACCACCACAGTCACTTTCCCAGCACCACCACCACAGTCACTTTTCCCAGCACCACTGGCACAATCACTTCCAGCACCACCACGGTCACTTTCCCAGCACCACCACCCGGTCACTTTCCAGCACCACCACCACAGTCACTTCCCAGCACCACCACCACCAGTCACTTCCCAGCACCACCACCCAGTCACTTCCAGCACCACAGTCACTTTCCCAGAACCACCACAGTCGCTTTCCAGCACCACCACAGTCACTTCCCAGCACCACCACCAGTCACTTCCCCAACACCACCATAGTCACTTCCCGCACCACACCAGTCACTTCCCAGCACCACAAGTCACTTTCCCAGAACCACCACAGTCACTTTCCCAGCACCACCACCAGTCACTTCCAGCACCACCTAGCACAATCACTTCCCAGCACCACAGTCACATCCCCAGCACCACCACCACCAGTCACTTCCCAGCAGCACCACAATCACTTCACCAGCGCCGTCACTATAGTCACTTTTCAGCACCATCAGTCGCTTCCCCAGAGCCGGCAGAACAGTCACTTCCCCAGTGTCCTCATTATAGTCTTTCCCAGCACCACTACTGTCACTTCCCAGCACCACTACTGTCACTTCCCAGCACCATCACAGTCACTTCCCAGCGTCACGTGTGCTAGCTGGTAGAACGATCAGTCGGTAAAGGCAGGTGGTCCAGCCCGGCGGACGGTCGGGTGTAAGGTGAGCGCCGCGCGGGACCACAGGAGTTCACTGAACTCGAGGCGTCTCACTTGACTCACACAGACTAAGCTAAACACCTCCACTTGAAGAATATTTAATAAAAGACGATTATTTACGTCAGGAAATAAACTTGTGGATTAGTAACAAGACAACAATACTCAGGTATGTTGATCTAATATTCATAACTTCTGGTTCGGAGTTTCGTTCATAATAATAATCGAATCATTGGTGTTTCGTGAGGCCTTGGATATGACGTCATAGTGGGAGGCAGACACAATGTTGTGATCGTTGCCCTCGTTTATAATGACCAATAACACACTACAGTGATAACATTTATCATAAAATATAAACTTGTTTTACTAAATTAATTATGTAATGTCTGCACGATCTTATATTTATCAACAAGTTAATATAATAATACAAAACATCTTATGTATTTTGTATTGGAATTTATTGTAAACTCTAACTTTTTGTTTTGTGTGTATAGTTCATGGTACACACACACACACACAAACACACACACACACACACACACACACACACACACAACACACACACACACACACACATTAGACATTTGAGTATAGGATAAAAGTTAAAGTAAATGTTCTTACGATTTAAGGAGACATTCTGAAACACGGCAGTGCAATTCCGTAGACTTTGCAAAACGTAAACAGAAAACGATACTCGCGTGATAGTTTAAGGACACACTATCTAATTTACCTTACGTCCAATTTTGGTATATTGTTTGCCTACCTGCACTGTTTATGTACATTGTTTACATATATACACTGTTTATGCACATTTTTTTATACTTACACTGTCTCTACACATTGTTTACATACCTACACTTTGTTTAGCTGAATTAGTAAGGTTCTTCCTCACATCTTCAGTTGAGAAATAAAACAATGAACCTTACAATAGAGAATCACAGGTGTTCCTAGTAAGGTTAAGAGCTATTAAGAGCTATTAGGGAGCTATTCTAACTTAGCCCAGTAGACCAGAAGGAGCAATGATACGTAACTG